CATGAAACACTGGAATAAAATCAATGTGTGGTTTTTTTTAACGTGTCATAGGGTTTATCACTTAAAAAATAAAATATCAAACTGAATTCTATCTTTCTTTTTAAAACATATTTTATTGATTTTTTACAGAGAGGAAGGAAGAGGGATAGAGAGTTAGAAAAATCGATCAGCTGCCTCTTGCACACCCCCCCACTGGGGATGTGCCCACAACCAAAGTACATACCCTTGACTGGAATCAAACCTGGGACCCTTCAGTCCCCAGGCCGATGCTCTATCCACTGAGCCAAATCAGTTAGGGGTGAACTCTATCTCTTTAGCTAGCTTTATCTATTGTTAATTCATACTTTGTTAAAACTATGACAATAGTGCCACAATGTTTGTAAGTGTGAATAGCATAACATTCAGATCTTATAACTTCATACAGCATATTCATTGCATTTTGTTTTAAAACGGGTGACAATTAAAATTTAGCATTAAAAAAATCTCTAATTTGGAAATCAGAAACCCAGCTTTGCTTCTCACTCTGTGACTTAAAACAAGTTTTCTAAATCCAAGGTACTTCACTTTCCTCATCTATAAAACTAAATGGTTGGGATAGATCAGTGGTTCTCAACCCTGGCTGCACACTATAATCACCTGGGGAGCATTAGAAAGTCATAATGCCCAGGCCCCACTCAGGGTTTAATTTTTAAAGGTCTCCAGGTAACTTTAATATATGGCAACTATTGAAAACCAGTGGGTTAGATGATCACTAAGGTTACTCCTAGCAAAACTTTCTAATTTTATGACTCACTGTGTTTAGACATAGTAGCATTTGGTAGAGATAACATTGTTTTCAGTATTTGCAGTGTCCTTTTAGTATTTGAAATTAACCTCAAAATCTGTTTCTACTCAAAACTAAAAACATCTTATCTGTACTCCATTTTTTTTATATTTTGAGAATAATTTGAAACAAGTGCATATATATGTCATTTTGGGGGAGTGTAACATATGCATTAAAATAGCATAGATTTACCTAATTCTTAGAAATTAGCACTGCTATGAATGGGAAACAATTACTTTCTTTCAGTATGCATATGTTGTAAGGATAGTGTACTAAGAATTGTGTATAAAATTTTTAAAGTTGCTATTATAGATATTTTGATTTTGATTAAATGGATCATTAATACCCTAAGAGATAATAACCCCCCTAGAGCATATCAGTTATTTATAATCAATACTTTACACATTGATTTATTATGAAGCAGAATAGACAGTTTTATAAAAGACTGATTAGAGTTGAATATCTAGCTGTGTTTGTATTTCAAAAGATAAGCTTGAGCCCGGCTTGCATGGCTCAGTGTTTGAGCATCAAACTATGAACTAGGATGTCACTGTTCGGTTCCCGGTCAGGGCACATGCCCTGGTTGCAGTCATATATATATATATATAATCTTGAGTTTTTGAAACACTTTTGAAATGTGTCAGAATAAGATTTTACTGTTTTTTACTAAACAACTTTTCATTGGAGTTAACATATATATTTTTTTCCTTTAAGCTTAAATACTAGAGAATATAACCAAATGCTACATTGCTTAAAGTTCCCATAAAAATCAAGAACCCAATGATATACTCAGATCCACAAAGAAACTGTAGATCCTTAGGAAATTAGGAAAAGGCCACAAATAAATATTAAGCTGAGAAGTAATGGATTTTGTGTCTTGTATTTTCGCACCGTTCTGTGCTTGCGGGTATGTACTTTTGAATACTTGGGACAGGCAGACTTGTCTTCTTCCAGCCAGTCTAATAATAGGTAGAAGGAGAAGTCAAATGACAGCTAACATGGGTGAATGTAGGTGTAACCAACAAAGAATGTGCTGGTTGTATGGAATTTCTGCAGGTCTAGTTATTTTTGAAAACTATTTGGAAAAAAAAATAATGCCCAGAAAAGACACTGAAGAAATGTGTGATTTTTAGTATAATTTGTATGTATCATTTATTTTGTGTTTGACATAGTCTGTTATTTTTATTATCTTTAATGTTCATACAGATTTCATTATATTTTTTATGACAACCTAAACTTAATAACTAAGAATAATTTACAGATATACCGTTAATCACAGCATGCAAAACTATGACATTGAAAGAATAATGTGACTGTTGGAATAGTCCACATGTTTAAAAACCTTGTTGTGTGCAGACTGGGAAAGCTGTTTTGCTTCACATTAGTTCTACAACCTATCAGTTTGCTTTACAAGGTCTCCCTGAAATCAATCAGACATATGTACCATGCTTTCAAAAGATTTTATATAGTAGGAATAAGCTATGAAATGTTTGAAAATACAGGTGGTGGGAACTATAGGCTTTGTAATAATAGTGACATGTATGCCAGTGGTTTAAAAACGATATAAGAGTTTTATACCGTTTTAAAATATCAAGAGGTTTTATGAAACAGTATTTAGAATCAGAATGGCATCACACTTCTTATTACTCAGCTATTGGGAGTGACCAAATGTAGACATTGGTAGTTACCTCTTCATCTTTTAAGATCTTCTCTCCTACTCATCTGCTACAAATCCTGGTAGTCTCCTATCAGATGCATTTATTTGAAGCATTATTTTTTGTTTTATTTTTTGAAAAGAGCTCATCAATGGTACTCAATCATTTATATTATTATCCATTCATGTAATCAGGTATAGTCAAGAAAGGGCTACTAATTCTAAGGGAAGGTATAGCCGGGAGTTACATAGCCTCAGGAAGGTACACATGTATAGAGGTGAGTTGCATTAGAAGAATATCATGCTGCAGGGGGTGAAAGACTGAAACATGGAGACCAGTGTCACTTATTTCCCAACTTTGCCTGGGTCTGGGCCAGGTCAGCAATGCAATTGTCATACAAAGTAAAGTAAATTGACCTACTTTCCTAAAGATGTCATATGTAATTTATATAATCTTTAGAGTTTAGCAATATTTTATTGAACATAGACTTTATATCTGACAGCCAAAGTTTATTGATGCTAACAATTTTTGAGTAAACAAACATCCATTGCCTGAATATAAATTGATAGCTTTTCCTCATAAGAGGTCTTATTTACAGTGAAGTGTTTTTTTTCCCCTTATTAAGACTTTGAGTTAGTTTAGTGGTTACAACCACTAAATAATTTTAAAAGTGTAAGTACCGGACTCCATCTTGAAAACACAGATACTGCATTATGCAGAAGTTATGTTTTAAAATGTGCTAGATTCTCTTAAAGGTATTTTTCTTCTTTTACTCTAATCAGCTCAGATAAATGTTTTTCCTTTGGCCTCAACTGTTTGTCACAAGACGGGAAGAGGCAGACAGCTAATGAAATAAATTGTATGCTGCTATGGTTAGGTAGAATTGGAATTTAATACTGTTGCATTTGGTTGAAGCTATAACTGATTTTTTTTAATTTGGCATGTTTGAATGACATCATGAGAAAGAAAAGAGACTTACCAAAATTTTAATTGGCTAATGCTTAGAAGTATTTGCATGAACTTAGGTATAATTTTTATATAACTCTCCCCAAATACTGTGTATTCATAAAAGAAGTTGCAATTAAGAGTGTTTTGAGTCATGAATATTAATGCATTAAATCATTAATATTAAAGAGATATTGCTTCTAGATAACAAACGCAGATTATCTGAATTATATTTTGTAGCTCAACTTGGACATCCAACTGTCAGAGAAGCCTCTTGCATTGAAATCTCTCAGAAATAGACTGTGTGCATATTTAACCCAATAGCTCTAGGTATTCAGCAATGAAGTAGGTGAAATCAAAAGTACCACATCAAAATTAACGTCAAGCCATGTGTTATCCTCTTTGAGTTTTAAAGTAATTTTAATATAGATATTAACTTGGTTTGAAATTCAAACACACACACACACAGGTTTGCTAGTTGGAGAGTTTCCAAGCCTGGGGGAGGGGAGCTGACAATTGGTGCAATCAGTATATTACACGTGTAATGATAATAAAGTTGATTGGTTAAGCTCAATAACTTTTTAAAAATTTTCTGCCTCTTCCTATAGAGTAGTTTAGCTGGGGGTGGACGGGTTCTCCCCTCACTTCCCTCCCTACTAAGCTATATGTCCATACCATTTTTATTCTGCTGGGGTGGGAAATAAACCATATGCTTTAGAATTTTGAATGGCTGTATCAAAGAGAAAATTGAAACAAGGCCCTCTTTCCCCATCCTACCAGACTTTGGGGGTGGGTATTCATCTAAATGTTCTAGCTGACTTGGGGTTAGCTTAATGCTTCTACCCCAGGGCAAAGAGGGCGGGACAGGGGAAGAAATGTTAAGAGCTTCAGAGATGCTTTGGGCTGAGTGAAGTATGGAGTGGAAAGCTTATGTCTGAAACTCACCCCTCCCCTGGATACCAGGCATAGGCTATGAGAATCGGAACCAGCTGATGCCGCTGCTGCTGTTTCCCGTTTCCAGGGTGAATTTTTCACAGCAGCTAATTCTAAAGGAAGGAAAAATCCCTAACCAGCAGCGGAGAAGATCCTATACCCGACCCAAGCTATAGAACCTTTTAGGCAGGCTTTTCAGAGAAATCCGCATTATAAAAGCAAGCATTCACAATCCAAAAATACAGGATGGGAATCCGAACTGCTATGGAAAGCCTCCTTACACTCTGAGTGTTTGAAACGATCCGATGAGCATAGGAAGTGGCTGCCAAAGCTCTGGCGGCTCCTCGTGCTGCTGCCGCTGCCGTTCCTCGCAGAGGGCTGGACAGAGCTAGTCCCGGTTTCAGCACCCACGGCGCTGGACAGCTCTCTGAACACACGCTGCACCTCTGCCTGCTTGCTTTTTTCAAACACTCTCGCTTTGCATAACTGGAGATGCATCTAAATTACGTCCTGTTCAACAACAAGTAGATTTTTTTTTCCTGTACGGGAATTACAGTAGACGATTCTCTTAATTAAACTGCATTTTCTTCTTTACGGATTTGGCCGTCAGGCGTATTTATCCCGATCTTCCCCCCCCTTTGCAGGAACGAGTCTTTGGGAACGTGGTCCACCCAGGGATGTAAAACTGTGCTTACCGATGCATCCCATACGAAATGCTTATGTGATCGTCTCTCTACCTTCGCCATTTTGGCTCAGCAACCTAGAGAAATAGTAAGTAACAAAGGGAAAACACGGCTTTAATGCAAAGGCAGGGACATTGTGGCAAGTGTTTCTCCAGGGAACTGCATTTTAATGGGGAAATAGAAAATGTTGCAGGGTGGCAAAATCGGGCTCGTCTCCTCAGCTACAGTAGCTTGGTGAAATGAATTGTAGTTGGTGTGCTATAACTAAATTCTAGTCCATTTTATGTCTTCTAACTTGAAATTTTTGCAGTATAGTTATGAGAATGTACTCCAATCATATTACTAATATGCTGCAAACTTTCAAATAAAAATAATTGCCAACTTAACCTTTATTTTAGAACTGGGAAGCTGTTCTGGGGAAATAGTGAGGACACTGTTGGTAATAGAATGAAGACCCCCCAACACTACAGCCAACACATAGCATATCTGCATTGAATATTTTCAGTATGGGTTTTCTGGGGGTGTCCTTGGATATTTATTTTTTAAAAATCAAATGAAGTTTTCCTGAAAGCATGGAATGTCAAAAACTATAAGACCATTTCTTAAAAGTATATAGGTTTATAAAACTTATCTCTGAAATTGACAGCTGTATAAACTGTCTAAAAGAAAAATAATATCCTCATCAAATGTATTTTGAAAATTATTTTAAAAATTGAAATACTGAAAAATAAGATAATGTGACTTTCTTGTTTAAATGTGGCCTAAATATACATTACTCTTCTTATTTTGATAACAACAATAAAAAAAAACCACACTCTATTATAATTTAATGTGCATGTCTAAGATTTGGAACACAGTTTATCTTAAAGTGCATTTCTTCAAACTTTCAATATTAAAAATATGAAAAGCAATATATTTCATTAGTTAGTATCATGCTAGTATCTGTGAAAGAAACATCTCATTTTGTTACTGCTTGTGTTCTTGATATATTTTTTAAAGATATAAGGCTTATTTTTCAAGGTCATGTATTTAGGGACTGATACTGGCACTATGAAATTATCCTTGCATATTTTGTTCAGAGAAAAAAAGCGCAGAATATATTGTAAAGTCTTGCATTAGAAATTTGATTTTCTTATATCCTTAGAGACCAAGGAAGTGAAATTAAACGAGAGAATAGTTGACTTAGAATGAAGTTGTGAGAAGTCCGAAAGTTTGAAAATCTTTCAATATTTAGATACCAGATTCAGGTCACATAATGAGTTGTAAAAAGGAGGATCAAAGTACATTTTACTAAAAAACATATTGTGAAATAACTGAACTATAATTAGTCCAAGAAAAATGAATGCTGATTCAAATTTTAGCTGGAGAAAGCTTCACATGTGAATGTTGACCAAGTTGTAGTTTTAGTTCTTTATTTTAGAAAGCCATGAGTAGGTAATATGTCATTATCAAGCATTTTAAACTCTAAGGCATTTATTTCTTCATGTTAGGGTGGGTGAGCTAGAATTAGTCATTTTAGAGATTAAGAATATGTGAACAGAGTGGTTACTGGGTAATTATCTGGTAACTATAACAACTATCTTCTTGGCTATTTTTGAGTGTCAGGATAGTTTTGCTGAGTTTGAAGTTATTTTAAAATTCTTTTTGTTTGTTTGTTTGTTTCTTTTGTTTAATTTGCAGATCATGGAATCCTCTGGTACACCTTCAGTTACCCTAATAGTAGGCAGTGGCCTTTCTTGCTTGGCCTTGGTCACCCTAGCAATTGTCTATGCAGCATTATGGAGGTATGTAATCAATAAATCCAATTGAAATGAAATGCTCTGTTTTTCCAAGTTAAATCAGTGAATATGATAACCATTATTATGTCTTCTTTTATTTATTTACTGGAAAAAGTATTTTTGTATAGTTATAATTGCTGTCATTCAGCTATCATCAATGAGCACAATAATAATAAATGTTTACCCATTTGCCCGTGGTAAGAAAATAAACAAAACACACATACACTTTTCTTTCCAATTCAAATGATGGTAGCCTTCAACAAGTTGCTTATCCCCCAGCATGGTATTCTTATACCCCAACTTCAGTCTTTGTGTGGTTTCTATTCCAACTGCTGTTGAGCTTGCAGATTTGATAGTCAAATTAATTTCTCTTTTATAAAAATATGGTTTCTAAATTCTTATGTTTAAACACATGCTTTCAGTATGTCACAAACAATAAGTAAAGTCTTCTATAATATTAATGCACAAACATTATACCTCAATGCTCTGAAAAGGTGTTTGGTTGAATGGTTTGAATAAGGCAGATTTTGACAGATGTAAACAAGAGTATGTGATACAAAAAAAAATATTTGTATAATTTTTAAAATTACATGTGCTTGATATGAAAATTTAGTATTTCTCAAAGATTTGTTTTTCTATTAAAATTAGACCTTTGAAGTTTATATCCACTCTCATAATAAACCAGTACATAACCAGTACATGACCAAAAGGCCAAACTTCCTAATGGATTTTAAATTTCTTAATGTTAAACATTTTATATGCTTTTTTATTGTTTAAAATATTCTAAAAATAGTTATATTAATAGATAATTCTATATTATTTTCTGAAAAAAATGCAAAATTAAAATGCAAAATTAGCCAGTCTGGGATTTTACTTATCTTTTACTTAAGGTAAAAAACAATTTAGTTGAAAAATTATTTACAATTTAATAAGGAAAGGTCATTTTATTTAACATTCTTTAAAAAAAATCACTGTTCTCCATTATATTTTTTATTCCTCTGTGGGCAAGATTGATTGTTCAGGATATTAAATTGTCAAGTATATTAAAAATTTCAGTCCAGCTGGCATGGCTCAGTGATTGACCTATGAACCAGGAGGTCATGGTTTGATTCCCAGTCAGTGCACATGTCCAAGTTGCTGGTTCAATACCAGGAGGCAGCCAATCAATGGTTCTCTGTCATCATTGATGTTTCTATCTCTCTCTCCCTCTCCCTTCCTTTCTGAAATTAATGAAAACATATTTTTTAAAAAAATATATCCTTATATAAAAATAAAATATATACACACACACTCTTGGTCCATTGGCACAGATACATAATAGAGGTTTAGTTTTCCTGTGAAGGAGTTATCTGGTAATAAAACACTGACAGAGTATGACAGTCTGATAAAGTATGGCCAATCCCACAAAATTGAGGACATGCTTGGTCTAGGTATGGCATTGTAGACAATAGAATGCAGGATTTAGGGCTCAGTCAAGTAGCCATTGTTATGGTAATAAAAGACCAAAATGGACAAAGGCTGGGAAGAAGTCAGCTTTCTCTCCCACAGTTGTCTGAATGCCACTTCAGGAAAATGAAGGGCCAGGATACCAAAGTATTGAGAACTAAGTTTATACTTATCAGCACTTAGAGTTCAGGCATCAATTCCACCTTCTTTTCACCCTCAATGCATATAGCTAACACTAACACAATACTGCCAAGATAAATGATATGTAAAATGTGTCAAAGAGGTACAGGATTAATTAATTCATAGTAAAGTTTTCTTTAATCCAGAAAAATCCAGGCAGCTGTTCAATGATTCTCTCTCATCATTGATGTTTCTATCTCTCTCTCCCCTTCCCTTCCTCTATGAAATCAATAAAAAAATATATTTTTAAAAAGTTAATACACCATGTTATGCTCTTCCCATCTACAGATATGTCCTTTAAATCTATATATTAAAATGATGCATTCATAAATTTTGCTTAAAATATCAAACATGTTTATAAAAAGTATTAAAAGCTGAGACATTTTGTACTAATTTTTAAGGCAATAATGTGACTCAGTGTAAATGAAAATGGAAACATCTAGAGACTCTTCAAGATGGTCAGTCTTGGTCTTTTATTACCTTGATTTTACTACTTATAGAGCAAACAATGTCAGTGAAACCCTTTTAATAATTTCAACTGTGTGCTTCTGCTGTCATGGAAGCCATTAACATCATATAAAGGGTCAATTTTCTTTATTTCTTAAACTTTATATGTTACATCTCCAACCAAAAAATAATAATAAAAAAATTCGTAATATTTGATTAGGTTTTCAGCATCCCAATATGTGGTTTATTCCATTTTTTAGATACTGATGATGCAGGGACAAGATTAAGCCACTCTTAAGGCCATTACAAAATTGACCTGGGTTAGCCCTATTTGGGTTTGTTTTGTGAGGAAACTTAAAATACAAGTAGAATTGTGTGTGTGTGTGTGTGTGTGTGTGTGTGTGTGTGTGTGTTTCCAGTTTTTGTTTTTGTTTCGCCTCTGAAATGTGTGATGGAATGTGGGGGCTTCTTTCTAAATGTTCCTCCAAGACAGAGAGAAGGAACTTTAATAGGTTTTATCCAAAAAGTGCCTCCAGGTCTCCAGCACGCCATCTAACACTGCACAGGGAAGTCCACGCCTACTATGAAAAGTGATTTCATGTGCTAATACAAATTAACACACAGCAACTACAAGTGTGTCTATTTGTTACTGTCCTTCAGTGATTTATGATGGGGTACAGTAAAGCAAAGTAGCTGTTACTGTTTGTGGTAAACAGCTGGGAGAACATTTGATTCTAAGCAGTTTTCTCCATGGCTTACAATCTTGATGCACTTACAAATTATATGACAGACTGTCTACAAGCACTTCTTAAAGGTAAAAGATGGCAGATGTCAAGTAATTTTCCAGCCTAATGTGAATTATTATTTGTAAATTAGATTAGTTTTTAGAGCTAAAACATTAGTGTGGGTTTCTTTTTGAACAGTTATTCAGGAAAAATAAAATTTAAGAAGTAGCAGCCTGACTACATAAAAATATTTGAGTGGATGAAATGGTGGATGAAAGTGTTCATGGTTTTATGAGAGTAATGGAATCTGTCTGGTAAGCAAAGGAGACTTTAGAATCTGTGGTTTTTCCTTTGATTCTCAGCGTTTCTATTGGTTGATTTATATGATAACACTTTACATATAATGTACACACATATTTGTAAAGGTAATTATACTAATTAACATATATGCAAGAAATTTTATTTATAGTAATAAAAACTATATTGATAACAGTTGTGCAACTTGGACCCTATCAGAAATGTCATGTTGTCTTCACTGATTTCAAAAGAAGAAGAAAAACAAGTTCTAAAGGATCCTAGGACATGCCATGCCAGTATAAAATTGGGTCTCTAATAATAATCTTTATTCTTTTAAACTGTTTTTAATGGTTTTTTTTCTTTGTAAAGGCACTATTTTAGTGTTTCTTTTTCTGGATGAATTCCACCAATTTGCATAATACAGAATTTTTTATCTTTCTGTTGAATTTTAAAACTGGACACTGTTTCTTTCTGTCGCTAGGTACATACGCTCTGAAAGGTCCATCATTCTAATTAACTTCTGCCTGTCTATCATCTCATCCAACATCCTCATACTGGTTGGACAGACTCAGACTCATAATAAGGTATGACTGGTAATTATTCTGATTATCTTTGTGTGTTTATGGTTTGACATAAAGTTGGTTACTGATCATCCAAACACTTATTCTAGATAAAATGGAGAACATTTGACAAAATTATTTTTTAAATTATTTCCTGAATAAAAGTATTAACTCTTCCAGACCAGATATGCATTCCCTTGGATTAATTTCTTGGGTATCGAGAGGCTGTTTATAATAGTAAAAAATATATGTTTGTTAAGCATTATATCATAGCTCTATAAGTTCAAAACCTTAGAACATCAAAAGCACAAATTTAGATTCTATATCCTAATTTTAATAGGATTGCCTATGTTTTGGTCTAATTTATTTACATACTGATTCCTAAAAGTCAACTATAAATTGCTTAAAAGTATAACATAGATCTTGAAAATCTACCCCAAAATTGTCTATTGATAATAATCTAAGACAGTATTAGGTGAAAGCAACACTAGGTTTTCTGCCTTTTAAAAAGTTTTAATTTTCCAAAAGTATCTTGATATATAACCAACATTGCAATTCTTCGGCTGTATTGTCAGTTTCAACAGAAAGTAGGTCCTGTTTATGAGAACTGACTTGAGTTGAATGACCAGGTTTGTTCCAGAATTGACTGTCAGCTCTCTTTACTAAACTACTCTGAAATGCATTCCAAGAAACCCATAATAGCAATCTTAAATTAACTTATCCCTACCTCAAAGGAATTCTGGTAAACTCTGCTTTAATAACATGTCGATTAATTTGGGCCTGTTTTTTTCCCTCAACTTTTTTTTTTCAAATGCTAAAGCAAATAATTGAAGTTTTCCCTATAAGCTATCATTTAAGAAAATAAAATGTACTTTGCAATAAGTTGTTTTGATATAATAGATATTTGTAAGACATGTATAGTTTAAGTTTTTTTCCACCAAAGCCTCCCTTCCCATCATTGTTTACCATCCAAACACTCTTAAGTGATGCCCCTCATTAGAATATGGAAAGCTG